ATTAATAATATTTTTTTTCTGATATCATTACAGTGTCAGTAACCCCTTGATTCTTAAGGTATTCATTGCATTACTTGGTGTAAAACTATTTTTAAAAAGAATGTTTTAAATAACTGGATTAAAAGGTGCAATGTTAATGTATTTTTTTCCGTTTTAGTTCGACAACATTTGACTGTTTAGAATTTTAGAATTTTTTTTAAAGTTCCTGATGTCTTAACGTAAACTATATATGAACTCAAAGAAGTCCAGGAATAATTCTGCTTCTGTTAGGTAATAAAATTAAAAATCTACCAATAAAATGAAATAAGATGTCGTATAACGGTTGGCAGGGAAGCATTTAATAAATGTAGAGACACCATTAAAAATCAACTTGACCATAATTCTTACGACATAAAGATTACGAAGAATGTATATTATTAGCAATGACGTTCAGGGGTGAATGATAAAAACTAAAAGGTCTCTTTAAATCAAACAGAGAATTGTGCAAGGGAAGACGAAAACACAGGATAAATCTTACCGACTATAAGTGGACTAAGTAAATGAGAGGACAAAAGATAAAATATATGGTCAAAAATGTTAAGAGACCAAAAAAACAATGGCGCACAGAGCGGGCAGAAAAAGAAAGCCGTGTACGTAATTCTTTTTGGTTGAAAAGGTACACACTATATAACGAACAATCTTGTCAAAGATTTTACAAACAGGAAACGAATAAATATGAGAATTTAGGAGCTAAGACATCGCAATAAACTGCAAAGTGACGACCCTCAGGAAAGGATTTGTTAAATGATGTTCAGTAACAGTAGTTAATCTATTTGATGATGATGACGAAAACGATAATTTTAGAATTCCCTACTGGTTTACACGGCCCAAACCACTGGCGTATGTAACCTTTGTTTGTTTGTTTGTTTAAAACTTAACGACCCCTCGATCAACAAGAGATCATTTAAGGTCAAACAGTTTTTTTTTCTTTTTTTTCTTTTTCTTTAAATAAGGTTGAAATGCTTTCAAAAAGACTTTCCCTTTCCTTTCCTTCTTTTTCGATGTTATCTTGCTTCTTTTTTTTTTTTTAATTCACTGTTTTCAGAGGTGCGTTGTTCTTTGAAAATTTCTCACCGGGCAAGTATCAAAGTTTTCCCTTTCATCATCAGACACCAAATTGGAATTATATTTTATTATATAATCCAACTTTCCTAAAAAAAGATCAAGATCAAATTGGGGTTTGATTTTTCGAAAAGTTCTTTCAAGTTGTATGTAACCTACGTATAAAGCACTCACAAATAATTTACCAGATTTCAATCCCGGCTTGAAGAAATCGAACGTTTAGCCACACTGAGGAGCTACGATACAGGGAAACAGTCTGTCTGTGGATGACAATATATATGCTCCCGGAAAAAATGTTGAGCTCTCTAGAAAAAGGGGTTTTAAAAACAAAAACAGGCTTCTACTGCTATTAAGCATTACTCTTCAAGTATGAATTGAGTTTTCCGAGCCGCTGGCGTATTTCGTATCGTGAAAAACGTTAAAATTCTCTTACTTTCTTTTTTATGCGACGGTGGCCTAGAGGTAAGATATCTGACTGATGTCAAATCAGTCGGGTTTCGATACCAGCTTGAAGCAAGCGAAATTGTGTCCGTTATATATATATATATATATATATATAGTCATATCTTATTGTATTGGATAAAGTATTGGGATAGCGTAACAAGCCTTCCAAATGTTAAGCAAAATGAATGATGCTGAGAATCCCGGATACTGAACATGTGAGCAATGACACACTTTTAAAGAAAATAGAAACAAAAAGAACACTTATACTTAACATCAGATACAGTTGAAATTCCTTGGGCACATAATGAGGAAAGAAGGCTTAGAAAATATGAAATACACGGGACATATTAAAGCAAGTGGGACAGAGAAATGTATCGTATAACCTACTTAACGACCTTCTGTAAATTCTCTGGCAGAAAGGTCATTAGATAGAGAAAAGTCAAATTTATCTGAGAGCTAAAAAGGACAAGAAGGAAGCCATGATCGCCTACGAACTGAATGCATACAACACATAGACGAAGGTAGAAATAATGAAGTAATAAATATATCGGATTAAAAAAACGATTAATTCTTGAGAAATATATATATATATATATATATATATATATATATATATATATATATGTGTGTGTGTGTGTGTGTGTGTGTGTGTGTGCTTCTCTGTGAATGTATGTGTGTATATTTAAGGACGTGCTGTCTAGATAGGCAAGTTAGACAGTACTTACTCTGAATAAACTAGATCGGTAGTTATACGTTTCTTCTGTAGGACAATATGACCATAACCCAACCGAATTATGAAGTTTACTCGGATTATTATGCATAAAATGCAATATATTTATTTATCTTTTTTTTAGATTTACGACATAAAGATCACAAGCTGCCTACCCTGAATAATTACTGCTTGTACGCATCTGGTGTATTTACATGTTTATTGCTTCAAACTTTATTTTTACTG